TCGCCCCTCGACGCAGGGGATGCAGGTAGGGCCAGGCCCCGGAGGTAGGGGAGGGAGAGACCGAGGGAGACCAGAGACAAGGACACGGGAGGCCATGCCTCGGAGACGAGGCAAGGAGGGGTGACCAAGGCGGTGGTGCGAAAGGAGATTCTGGTGGGACAGTAGACGACACGAGCAGGGAGCAGACTCAGGACCAGACCTGGACGCTGCAGCAAACACCTGACTCGACGCAGCTACCTCGGCAGACTCAGCAGTCGGAGCAGACTCAGTAGTAAGGGTGTACAGGCTCGACCTTGGCCGATGGGTGAACGTGGCAAAGTGTCGGCTTGTCCGAGCACACGTGCAGTGGGTCACCAGCTGACTCGTAGGAGTGAACTGGTCAACCCCCTATCCTGTAGGTCCGCTCCACTCACCAAGTTCGTAGAGAACGAGGGGAGGTAGAGACCTGACAGGGTGCCAGAGGGGGCTGTCGGGCACGGTAAGATAGTGGAGAAGCTAGCAAGGACAGGACCCCGAGAGGGGTCCGCCAGGGAGACTGCAACCGTCCGACTGAGCGGCGTAAGAGTGGTGCGGTCTCGAAAGAAGGAGCGGGACGCACCCGAGTCAAGAGTGAAGGTGTGTAAGGCCTGAGCCGACATAGTTCCTGAGAGCGCAGACTCACTAGCACCTGGGGCAGCAGACGCACTAGCACTTGGGGCAGCAGACGCACTAGCACCTAGAGCAGCAGCCTCAATGCCCGGGTCAGGCGGTACACACAGGTAACAGTCACCCGCAACACTATCATCAACAGCATACATGGCAGCAAGAATAGCATCAAAATCAAGATCAAAGATAGCAACCCCCGCCCTAGACAACTCTCCCCAGCGAGGGATCTCAGAGCCCCAGGAAACTGGTGACGCCACTCGTCCGTCAGGCGGCCGAACAGCGGTGGGTGGAGTGCGGGCCCGCGCACTGCTCACCAGCGCGGTCGCTAGTGCGCAGAACGTAGGTGCAGGGACCAGTACCCCCACCGCGCTAACGTGCAGCGTACCACTCACAAAGCTGCTGAGGGGACACGGTCTCACGACTGCTCTGCTGCTGCTGGCGCATACCACCACCAGAGCCACTCCTTTGCGCAGAGCCGCGACCAGGTCCACTGCTGCCGCCGCCTCCTCCACCTCCGCCTCCTCCGCCACCTCCGCCGCCTCTGCTCCCTCCGCCACCACCGCCGCCTCCTCCGCCTCCACTGCTGCCGCCGCCGCCGCCGCCGCCACCCCCGCCACCACTCCCACCACCACCCCCACCCCCTCCACTGCCTCCACCACCACCTCCACCGCCCCCGCCAGCCCCTCCAGCGCCCTTGGCCCCCTTGCCCTTGCCGGTGCGGCGTCTCCCGCTAGGGGCAGACGCAGCGCCGACCCTGAAGAAACCAACGAGGTCGGCCGCAGCAGCAGAAGAAACAGAGGGCAAGAGGGGGGAGGGGGAACACCCCTCAAAAACGGGGGTGCGAGGGTCACCACGAGAGGCTCCTATAGCGACTATGCTCTTCTCTGCTTCTAGGAGGCCCTTCTTGAGGAGGTCAACGGTGAAAGTGGTGGGGCAAACTGAGAGGAAGTGGTCCCTGACTACGGGAAGAGAGTCAGCGAGCCGGGTGACAATGTAGTAGAGGGTGATGTATATCGGGGGGGGTGTTCTTGGCGCAGAATTCAGCAGGAAGCGCAGCGCGGTAGCGAGTGTGACTAGTGCGGAGGTGCGTAATGAGGTCAGCGTTTGTGGGAAAGGCAGCAAGGTCAGGGAAGAGGTACGGTAGCATGAGGCGGCTCAGTGCAGTAGTGGCAGGGGAAGAGTAGCGTGCAACTACAGCGTCGTACAAGGTCTGAGCACTCTTGTACTGGCTAAAGTGTGCTCGCTCAGTGGTCGGTAAGTGGCGATGCACAGCAAGGCGAGCAGCAGCATCGCGTGTGGCCCACTGTGAGCGAACAGTGCTGTCAGCAGTAGCACGTGGGGCAGGAGAGACACCAGAGGTGAGATTGAACAAAGAGAGTCCGTCTGCCCTATCGCAATGGAGAAACAGCTGGAGGTCATCGACCCAGACCTCAAAGTCAACGGCACGAACCTCAACATCAAAAGTAAGGATACTGGGGGTAGCCATGATTGCAGTAGCCTAGTAGGAAGTGAGCTCACCAGTCCGAGGAAGGAGGGCCGGGGAGCACCGGTAGGAACAGCAGCGGCTCGACAGTAGGGCGGCTCGGCGGATCGGCGGCTCGGCGGCAGGGCGGCTCGGCTGCTGGGCGGCTCGGCTGCTGGGCGGCTCGGCTGCTGGGCGGCTCGGCAGGAGGGCGGCTCGGCTGCTGGGCGGCTCGGTGGCAGGGCGGCTCGGCTGCTGGGCGGCTCGGCGGCTTGGCTGCTCGGCGGCTTGGCTGCTGGGCGGCTTGGCTGTTCGGAAGGTGGGCGGCTCGATTGCTGGGCTGCTCGGCGGCTCGGTCGCTGGGCGGCTGAGCGGTGACAGGGCCGCTAGGGGAGGGCAACGGGGCCGCAGGTGACGGCAACGGAGCCGTAGGTGGCGGCAAGGCCGCAGGTGGCGGCTGCGTGGCCGCAGGTGGCGGCGACGGGGCCGCAGGTGGTGGCGACGGGGCCGCTGGTGGCGGCGAAGGGGTCGGACGTGGCAGCGACGGGGCCGTAAGGGACCTAGACGGGGCCGCGGAGGGGCCGTAAGGGGCCTAGACGGGGCCGTAGCGGGGCCATAAGGGGCCTAGACGGGGCCGCGGAGGGGCCGTAAGGGGCCTAGACGGGGCCGTAGCGGGGCCGCAAGGGGCCTAGACGGGGCCGTGGAGGGGCCGTAAGGGGCCTAAACGGGGCCATAGCGGGGCCGCAAGGGGCCTAGACAGGGCCGTGGAGGGGCCGTAAGGGGCCTAGACGGGGCCGTAGCGGGGTCGCAAGGGGCCTAGACGGGGCCGTAAGGGGCCGGAAAGGGCGGCGCGAGGGGCCGTAAGGGCGGCGCAAGGGGCCGTAAGGGCGACCAAAGGGGCTGTGAGAGGGGCCACTAAGGGCGGCTCGAAAATAGGGAGGGCATACAGAGCGCGACTCGGGCAGGAGTGAAGCGCGCTCCGGGCAGGAAAAAAAAAGTATCGTGGTGGGTCCTAGGTAGCGTTCCCACTAGGGAACGTGCTCTGATACCATGACAAGAAACGAGAATGAATACATTGAGCAGGAAGAGGAGTACAAGTAGGAAACCGAAAATGTTGTACCCCATATGAACTAACCCACTACAACCTACACAGACTATAGCATATATGCCTGACAGGGTCCACTTCATTCTTCACTCATACTTTCAAAGCTACTTCATACCTAAGTTCTTTACAAGTTTGACTACAAGCTCTCTCAAGTCAATTTCAAGTCCTCCTATGCTCCAACTCCCAAGGCTCCACCACCATCAGCAACCTCTCCCAACCCAAGCTCATAGCCATATGCTCTAACTATTGAGGAGTTTATGCCACATAGTTTTTCTTCTAGATCATGAATGATAGTATCTGTCAAAATCCCACCATGTACATCTCCTGGATTAATGTACTTTAGGGCTTCAAGCAAGATTTGTGTCCTCTTCTACTCAAGGACCAAGCTCCAACCTCAATATCCAAGCTTGGAGTTTTTTGTTCGATTCAACAAGTACAAGTCAACATTCAAGATAAACTCATCAACACTCAAGCTTTAAAGTCCTTCATACAACAACAAAGACAACTTGCAAGCTTGGGATTGAAGATCAACTCCTACAATATAATAGTAAGAAGTCTTTTCAAGTAAGTTGTTATCTCTTCCTCTCATCCTTACTTTTCAAGTAAGTTACTTTTACATCAAAGCTAATTTGCTATTATCAAGTTTGTTTTTATATTCAAGCTCCTTATATATCCAACAAGTTCTTTCATGTTCAAATTTCTTACTCTCAAGTTTCCTTCCACCCCTTTTTAAGCCTCTTTCAAGCCACTTTACCGTTCTGATTAAAAATTCCTCCAATATTTTGTTTTAGCCAATCTTGTTTTCCCTTTTTTTATACGTTCTCATCAATTTAATCAAGTTTATCATCTTCTTTAAAGTATTTTTTATTCTTAATCCCTGTTTCAAGAATTTCATCTTATCAACTTGTCTTACTTCAACTTTGCCTCTTCCTTCTAGGTGTTTTTCTTCTTTCTACTTACTATTTACCCTTCCTCATATTTTTCTTCAATTTCAGACTCATTGCATTGAATGCTGCTTTTTGAGGCGGCCCGTCCTCTTTTGGCGAATTAAGGAGGCTCCCAAGGTTTCAACTCGTTAGAGGCACCGCATATGATGGCTGGTGCGACGCGAGCTAGCTGTTGAACAACAAATCAGCGTCCACCACACAATCGAGCTCCCAGCCCTTGGAGACTTCGTTCTCTGAGCAGCCCTGACCAAACTCAGCGAATGTCGGCAGCCCCATTGCGAAAATTGCGCTCCCCGGACCAACCTCGGCGAAATATTCGTGTGTGAGCATATGACGTCGATGTGACGCTGAACCGACTGTCGCTGACGGCCCGGGACCGGAGGAGATGAGACCATAGATACCATACCGCTCGGTCAGCTCCAGCTACTCTGGTACGGCTGCCATACCTGACGGAAGCAGCCAGTCAGATTCGACAAAAACCGACGAACCTGCAAATTTTCAGAGAAGCTAGCCCAACTACACCGAACTTATCATCCGAGCCAGAGACCTTTAGAAGTACCGCACAGAAGCTTCTTGTCCAAACCAATCCATGCTTGCTTGCCAGAGACTGCTCTACCAGCGGTACTCGATAACTACATAATTTGAGTAGCAATGCTCAGACGGGAAGCAATGATTGCCTTATGCTAAGTAGTCTCCATCAAGGATGTCGCGTGCTCGACGATAGGATAGTTTCAAGCAATACCGTTCGGATCGTTTTAGGAAACAGCTTTATTTCAATCGTCGACCTTCATATAGTTAGTCTCGGTAACCAATCTGGTCGGTATAGCGTTGACAGTACACCATGGCGTGCGTGTCTGATCAAGTGTTGTCTGCTACGCCTGCTATTGCGGAAGAGCTGAGCGAGGTTGAAGCCTCCCCGTCGCGGCTATCCCCGAACCTTCCCGTCAAGGAAGCTCGCCAGCGCCGCCAGGTGGGTCCCTCGCCTCTCCACCATGTACCGCGTGCTCCCGGACCCACCCTGCCAGTAATTTGCGCTGTTTTATTCCACATTATGGTGGTTATTTTCAAGCCTTTTGCTCCAAAAACGTTCTCCTAGGCTTTCGTTGCAAGGCTCGAAGATTTCTGGCGTTAGCTTGTGCTTCCTACGCGCCACACCTGCAGGACTTTCACCAATGGCTATCCAGCAAGGCGCGAGCCTCTCAACATCGCAAGAGCCGGCGCGACACGGGCAGCGATACCCCCAGCAACGACAATTCCGGCAAGGACAGTTGCTTCAGTGACAGTCCCAGCAGCATCAGCAGCAGGAGCAGCCGAACAAGCCGTAGCAGCACAATGACCACCAGCACCAGCAGCGACGGCTCTGGAAGCTCCGCGGGTCTGTCTGCAGTCACCAGTGAGGCGGAAATCGAACCTCAGGCGGTCGACGCGGTCGACGTGGGCGACGTGGGCGAGAGTGGCGACATCCATGCGACGACGGACGACGAGGACGTGGTGTCGACGGAGCAGCAGCAGGAGGAGATGGCTCGCCGCTTGGAGCAGCGGCTCATGTCGGCCGAGAAGAAACGGTCAGTTGATGTTGGTGTTTGTCGAAATCAGTCAATAAGCTTTCATGGCACGTCTTGGAAAGCAATGAATCAAATTACATAACCCGTCGATTGAGGCAATGACTTGATTGCCATTGTGTGAACATATCGGTCTCGAAACCGATCAGCTGTCATCGTTCGCCGTTGCGTAAACCTGTTTTGTTGCTCTTTGCTTCACCTTGCCAGTTTCTCCATCACCATTTGCTTTCGCAGCAACCGTATGAGGCATGGTCAACCGTATGAACATGCTCCAATTCTCTGTAATATCACCTCGGCAACACGCGGGGTCATCGGGAGAAGATGAATTGATATTAACAGAGTCGTACCCGCCCTCACCCCTCCGTATGTCCCGTGCAGTCTGGAGCGCGAGGGCAGCAAGAGAGAGCAGCAGGTCAAGTCGGCGCAGCTGCGCCGCCAGGTGCGCGCAGCGGCGCAGCAGCGGCTCGAGGCGTGGGTGGCGGGTGTGGCGCAGCAACGCGAGGAGCGCGCGGAGAAGGCGCAGAGTAACCGCGCGGCCATCCTCACGGCGGGGCAAAAGAAGCGCGCGCAGCACTTGGCGCTCGTTTCCACGCGCACTGCGCAACGCGCCCGTCAGGAACAGTAAGATCAGGACTTTAAAATAGCAGCCAATTGTATTCGATAGTGCTGTTTTGTTTCCAATTCAAGTCAGGCTTGCATGTGCATGTTCTATTCTTCGTTCCTTCAACCGTGTGCCGCTAGGAATCCATGTTAGCGTACCGCTTCGCATTTTCCGCCTCCCTCCCCGTTCTCCCTTCTCTCCCACCAGAATCGAGCAGGAGCGCGCAGCGCAGCTCCTCCAGGCGCTCTCGGACCGCATCGCCGCCGCGTCGTCGAAACGCGACGCGCGCCTGTTGGCGGAGCGACAGCGCGCGGCGGCGCAGTGGGAGCAGGCGCGGCAGGTGGCGGCGACCGTGGTGGAGCAGCGGCAGCGCGAGAACCGCGAGCGGCGGGAGCGGCTGGAGCGCAAGGTGGCCAAGGCGCGCGGAAGGCGCGCGGAGATGCTGCGGCGGAAGGGCGGCGGGCGCAGGAGCGCGCTGTACAACCAGACGCTCTGCCGCCGCGTGCAGTGGCATCTACTCTCGCGCCGCCTCCTGCGGTGAGACGCGCTCCCTGCTCCCCGCTAGCGCGCTGCTCCCTGCTCCCTGCTCACCGCATGCTCCTTGCGTGCCCCCTACGTGCTGTTTGCCCATTGCTGGTCTCTCGAATTATCAGCATGCTCCACGCGCCCGCCTCACCCCGCACAGGCAGTGCTCTTCCCGCCTTCACTTCATGACATCAACTCGTTTCAGTTTTCACCATTTTTGCTCGAACTAACAGCCAAGTTTCTCTACCTGGTGCCTCCTTCCTGATCATAACGTCTTCCCTTTCCCACCATCACATATTCCCTCCCCACTCAACACCTTCCCCGCCCCTCTCCCTAACCCCATCCCTAATCCCATCACATACTCCCTCAACGCCTTGCAGCTGCTGGCGCCAGTTCAAGGGCGCCAACAAGACCACACTCGAGCTCGCGCGCGCCTTTTGCGCTTGCCAAGTCAGCCGCGCGCGCCTCTCCCGCCTGCCCTTCCCCCTCGTGGCCGCGCGCATCCAGTCCCCCGTGTCCCTCGCCGCCACCGACGCGTTTCTGCAGCGCCTGCACGCGCGCCTGCTCGTGTCCTCCGCCGTCGTTTCCGCCTCCCCCGCCGCGTCCCCCGCCCCGTCCCCCGCCAGCACCCCCTCATCCTCCCCCGCCGCGTCCCCGCAGAAGCAGCCGGGCGCGGGCAGTCAAACCGCGGGCGCAGCTGGCGTGTGCGATATCGACCACCTGTTAGCGCAGGTCGCGCCTCCCCCAAGCAAACCCAAGCCCTCATCATCATCAGCAGCAGGGGCTAGCAGCGCAGTCGCATCTACCACCGGCGGAACGGCCGCGAGAGGCGGAGAGGTGGCGCGGAAGGGGCGGTATCCGCCGCGCGTGTTCCTGTGCGCGTACATGATCGTGCTGCACCCCGAAGCCGTGCTCTCGTGCCTCACGGGCGAGCGCGAATCCGCCCTGCGCGTCACTGCTGCCGCCCTCGTGAAGGCGTTTGAAGGACTCGCGCGCTTCCTGCTCACCCGACCCACCCCTTCTTCTGCTGCCACTGCTTCAGCCTCTTCTGCCTCTCCAGCTGCTCCGGCCACAAGTCCCTCCACCGCGACTGCAACTGTGTCGAGTGCGCCTCCTGCCGCGGCTGCTGCCGCTGCTGGTTCTACTTCTGCTGCTGCGGGTGGAAAGAAGGCGGCAGCAGCGAAGCCGTTTTCACAGCACCTGGCGGAGTTTGACGCGGCGTGGGTGGATTACCTCGAGAGATTCGTTGCTTGGAAGGTACGGTGTGTGGGAGGCACGGTGGGTGGGAAGGTGGGTGGGAGATATGGTGGGTGGGAGGTACGGTGGTGGGGTGAATGCTGCCTCTCATGCTTCTCACATGCCAGCATGCTGCTCAATTGTCGTCGTCCATTCTCCCCGTGCAACGCATTCACCACCCCATCAGGCGCGAGACAAAGAGCGCATGGAAGCCTACATGGTGAGCATGGCGTGCCAGATGCACGCCAGCATGCTGCTCCATGGTTGCTCTTCCTGGCTCCCCAATCCTTGCTGCCCATGCACTCCAATGCTTCCTCACCCCTCCCCATACACCACCAGGCGCGAGACAAGGAGCGCATGGAGGCGGACATGGTGAGCATGGCGTGTCAGATGCACGCCAGCATGCTGCGCCGCACCGCACACCTCCCCGACGAGCGCATATCGGAGGACCTCCGAGCCATCCGTGAACAGGTGAGGGGCGGGGATACAAGGGCGAAGAGTGGGGGGTGAGAGAGCGGAGTGGGTCGCAGTGGTTTGGCAGGCACAGGAATGGAGCCTGTGATTGATGTGTGCTTCACTCTGTGAATCCAAGCGCCCTGGTCTGCCCCGCACGGCTGCTGCTACATGTCTTGGTTGCTGCAACTCACTGTTATCACTTGCCCGGCCCACCACCACCTGCCACCGTCTTGTTCCTTCCCCTCCCACTCACTCCACTGCTCCTCGCTCCACCCTCCCATTCCTGACCAACCCCGTGGCGACAGGTGGCGAAGGACATTCCCATGCTGCGCAGCAAGCTGAGGGGGCTGGCGGGGGAAGCAGGGGTGGCGCGCATGGACGAGGCCCTCGCCCGCACCCAACGAGACTTCCTTGCTGGCACTCTCCCCGGATCTCCCTCCGCCTCCCCTTCCCCCTCCCCCTCCCCGTCGCCTTCCCCCTCGCCTTCCCCGTCGCCCTCCCCCTCCCCTGCTGTCTCCGCCACTCCTTCCCCCGCCTGCTCCCCGTTCACCCTCTCTCGTGCCTCCCCGGGTGCCTCGTCCCCCACCCTCTTCTCCCTCTCCTCCCCCACCAACCCAAGCCCTCTCTCTGCCACTGCCACTCCCACTGCCACTGCTAATCCATCCTCAGCTGCAGCAGCAGCCACCAGCTCTGCTGCTACCGCTGCTCCCTCCAGAGTCCCCAAGGCCCGTCGCTCGCTCTTCCAGTTCTCCTTCCCGCCCAGCAAGCCAGCTCCGGCTGCAGGCTCGGACGACGCATCCAAGGCTGCAAGGGAGGTTCGTGGGGCGCTGCAGGGGGCAGTGGCAGGGCCGGGGGGCAGCCCCAAGAGGGCAGGGGCGTTCTTCGTGCCTTTGGACGCTGAACCATCAGCCTCCTCTCTCCCTACTGCCTCTGCTCCTGTTGCTGATTCTGCTGCGTCTGCTACTACTGCTTCTGCTGCTGGTGCTGGTGCGAGTCCTTCAGTGGTGGCCCTGCCCGTGGGTCCTCCTCCGCCCCCCCCTGAGCTGCTGCAGCTGCACCTCAGCCTCTACCGAAGCTCCACCCTCGCGGCGTCCGCTGCTGCCTCTACTGCTGCTGGTGCAGGAGCAGCGGCACAAGGAGGCGGGGACCTGGAGGCGAGGATGAAGGTGAGCAGTGAGCTGTCACTGGTAGCCTGCTGTGCCGTGTACTTGCTCCATTCACACGTCACCACTTGCTTTGCTGCTCACCTCACCTTCCCCTCTTGCTTCGGCTCTTTCACCCGAGCACCCCTCCCCCCACTGCCATCCCCCCTGCGTGCTGCCTCCCTCTCCCCCCGCAAGGCGGCCATGCACCGCGCCTTCTGGGGCGCCACTCTTGGCTCCTGGCTCACCTCGACTCCCCATCCACCTTCCATCGCCTCTTCACAATCCGCTTCTTACCTGTGCTCCCATTCCCCTCCCCTTCCCACCTATCCGCCTCTGCCCACCGCCCCTGCCCACCTCTCCCTACCAGGCCGCCTTGCACTGCGCCTTCTGGGACGCCACACTCGCCTCGCTGCTTGCCTCGACTTCCCTCCCCATCCCCTCCCCTGGCTCACCTCCCTCTCCTACTCCCCCCCTCCCCCCCACCAGGCCGCCATGCACCGCGCCTTCTGGGACGCCACACTCGCGTCGCTGCTGGCCTCGCCGCCCGACACGGCAGCAGCGGCGCGCCTGGTGGGCGAGCTGCGGGAGGAGCTGCTGCGCGTTGCCCCGCGCGCCTGGCATGACGAGGTCACAGCCAACCTTGCTCTGGATGAGGCTGACCTTGAGAAGGTGAGCCACCAGCACAGTGCAGTGCGGTGTGGTGTGGTGGGTAGTTGAATATGGCCCACCTGGTGGGCAAGGCGAGTTGCGGGAGGAGCTGCTGCGCATTGCCCCCGCAGCAAGACAAGGTGACAGCCAACCTTGCTCTGGATGGCGGGCGGACCTGGAGAAGGTGAGGGAGAAATCTGCCGCGCAATGTGGTGGGTGATTGAATGTGGTGGGTGGTTGATGTGGTGCGTGTCCGTGAGCCAGCCGCACTGCCCTTTTTCACCCAACCCCATCCACTCCCATCCACCTTCCACCCCGTCCCGTCTCCCGGCTGCCGTCTCCCCTGCTCCTTTGGCTCAGATGCTCACACACGGCACCCCCGACGCCTTCCACAGTCTGCACGCGCTGCTCGCCTATGCCACGGATCTCACTCTGCGCCTCGGCGCGCCCTTCCGGGACGACGCCACGCGTGCCGCCTTGGCACGGCTCAACCAGGAGCTGGGCACGCTGGTGGCGACAGGTGGCACGCGCTCATTGGCAGATGCGGTGGTGAAAGGGCTCAAGTTTGCCTTTGAGCGCCTGGAGGTGAGGCTGTGGGGGCTAGGGACCTAGGGTTGAGGAGACGGCTGGAGGATTACTATGGTGCTGTGTGGGGGGCTTGAGTTTGCTCTTGGGCAGTACGATGTGCATTGCATGGCTGGTTAGGCTTGTCGGTTGAATGACTGGTGGCGTCACATCCTCATGTCACGCGCCTTCTCTGATCGTCGTGACACTCTGCCTTCATCCTTCCCTTCACGTAGCCTTCGTTTTCCCTTCCTCTTCTCCCATGCCCTGCCATGCATGCTGCATCAGGAGCTCAAGGCGGACATAGCAGCAGCACGAGCTCGTCTCACGCCCCTCGCCACCACCGCCGCTGCTCTCCAAGCTGCCCTCACCAAACGTTTCGACCTGCCCGTGTACCCCACCCCTGCTGCCCTCACTGCCTCCCCGTCCTCGCCTGCTCTCTCCCTCTCAACCATCAAGGAAAAACTTCCGCGCACTTTCTCCTGGGTTGCCAGCTCTCTCAGCCAATCCATCCCCTCTGCACGAACCGAGCTTCAACCATACCTTGCCACGTCAGCATCCACTTCCTCCAGCTCAGCAGCATCGTCAGCAGCTGCCACTCTCCCTTCTGCATCCGCCCTCCGCACTGGCCAGCGTGCTTTGGCTTCTGGCACAAGCACAAGCGGCAGTGGGACTGGGTCTATCGACTGGGCGGCAGCAGCGTGTGTGGTGCGCGTGGGTTTGGTGGAGGTGGTGATGTCAGCGGAGGGCGCGGAGGGTGGCATGGTGGCAGAGGTGCTGTGGCTGGACGTGGGGAAGCTGAGGCACGCCCAGAACGGGTTCCAGTGTGTCGTTGTGGTGGCCATTGGGTGAGTGGCGAGAACGAGGGAGGAGTGTCAAGTGCATGGTGTCTGTTTCTGTCTAAGTACCTCACCTCAGAAGGATATCTCATACTGCAGAATATTTGAAACCTCCATTTCTCCCCATTGGCTCAAAATACCCTCTGGTCTCCCTCCCTCTGGCCCCTCCCTGCAGTCTGCTGCTGCTGCGTCAGCTACTGGCAGCACGAGCCATCCTGCCATCGCCAGCAGTGGAGGCCGTGGTAGCCGCCACGCGCATCACCCTCGCCCGCCTCGTCTCCTCCCCCGACGCCTCCCGCCCTGCCCTCGCCTCGGCCCTCGCCGACGCCGTCATCGCTGCAGCCAACACCAAGACAGCCCCAACAGCAGGAGCTGATGCTGCCGTTGCCGCTGCCTCCCCAGACAGGGCAGGCATCGAGGCGCTGGCGTCAAGCCTGCTGCTGCGAGCGCTGAACCCCACCGACGCCATCTTCCTGCGCGTCCGTGCTTCTGTTGCTGCCGCCCTGCGCGCCCTGCTGCTGCTGCGCCCCGTCAGCCAATCGCAAGCTCTGCTGGCCGCCCAGGCTGCGCTGAGAAAGGCTGCGGCTGGGGACCTGCTGAGCGGGAGTGAGGAGGGTGATGGAGGAGAGGGCGTGGGAGTGATTAAGGTGGTGAGGCTGGTCGAGGAGATGTCTGATGTGGTGCTGGCAGTGCATGAGCCGCTGGTGCGTGTGGCCATGGCTGATGCCACTGCGTCATAGGTCGCAGAAAAGGGGTTGGGTGTTTTCTGATCCGGCTCCAACATGGCTGTGGGAGGGTGACGGGTTTTAAAAGGATGCGGTCCAACGCAAGTTGACCAGCGGGGGTGCATGGCGAGGAGGATGTCTAGTCTAGGGCTCTTTCATCGCTGCACATTTCTTTCCAGTAAATAGGAGTGATGTATGGTTGTATATTCAGAGATGGTAGCAATGCATGTTCTTTTTAGACGTTCTTAGAAGCTAAATGCAGTAAGCTCCCTGATTTTTCAGTGAATTTCTGTTATGAAGCAACTGTCACATGGTTTATCTGGGAAATGTATGGGATATTGCTTGGTATGTAAAATGGCTTACTGCGTCCTATGTAAAATTGCTTATGATAAACTAGATCGTGTATATCCCTAGAACGTGTATGGCAGCGTGAGGGCGGGGGGCGGAAGTTCGTGGATGAAAGTTCAGGCTGGTGAAAATTCTCTGAACTGTAGTGAAGCAAGAATACCGCTCCAAAAAGCATCTTAGCGTACTAAACCGTTTCGTCGGCACGGAAAGTGAACTTTTGGGACTCGTGTGTGATTTGAAGTTTTATCCATTCGGTTACGAACGCCTCTGATTGGAGGAGGATACGTGTGAGCACACGGTGCGTGGCGCAGCGTTTGACTCCCGAACCTAAACCGAACCAATCAAAGTTGGGGGCCCTGCCTCCCCTACACCCTAATGCTCACTCAACCGCCCACTCTGAACACGCCCAGCGCCACTCCATACGCCCAGTGGTCGACATTCACAGCCAACGGCCCGCGCGTTACTAGCCCACGACAAAACCAAGATGTTCGAGTTACCCAGACAAAACACGCTGGGCTACCCACAATTTCCGCAACTGTAGTTGTTTTGTCAACCTTTGTTCCACACAGTCCCATTCTGCCCCTAGTGAACGCATGCTCGAGAGAGGAGCACAGGGAAAGATGGGAAAGGAGACTGAAATGGGCATCACGTGTACTTCGGCATTGAACAGCGATGGGAGGAGGGGTGCTGCTTGTTCAACATTCGTATGGCGCGATTCAATACGATGAATTACGTTCCAAATCTGGACAAAGTACTTTGCCGTTCTATACCATTGCGCACCGATTGATTTATACCCACGGAACCTCAGATGAACAATGGTTCGGTCCATCCATCGTCGATACACCCTGTTTCGCGCTAGCAGAGCATCTGGTTGTAGAACATGCACAGATTGTAGAACGTCACCACGTTTGAAATGGTCTTATCACCGACGGTACAAGCACATTCACAAGAAAGCGGTTAGCTAGGATGCTGCATGGTAAAGAACATTAACCAAGCGTTTCAAAGCGGTTGAAAAGGGTATACAGCGATAAAGAAAAATTTTGCCCCCAGTACCACTCCGTCAGCTGGTGCGGCTTTGCCCGCAGGTTTCAGCCATACGGTTTATGGCACCTGACCGCACTGTAGCAGCGAATCGCGCAAGGTGAGAGGGTCGAGAAACAGGGTGTATCTATGGTTCTCGTGTTCATCGTTGCTGGACACGGCGAAACAGTTCAGGAAGATTCGTTGCGACGCGCCAGCATCGTGCGTCGCATGCGGCAGTGCCGCATGCTTGATTGTACACTCGTTTTCACTACTGTTTAGGTTCAACTACTATTTAAGAGCAGCGGATTACTATTTATATTTCCTCTCGTGCTCAGCACGAGCTGCTCGGGCGGATCACACGATGGCGTCGCCTTCCGTTCCTGGCGCTGGATCTCAGCCGTCTGATTTAGAATCCGGTCCGCCTCCCATCGTTCTCCCCGCAAATGCAGCATTGCGGTCCCCTCCCCTTCCACCGCGCTCCGCCACTGTCGGCGGTCGTCCGCCGCTCCCCCCCGCCTCCTCTGAATCAGTGTCGGAGGGGCCCTCCGCGGCCGCCTCTCCCGTCCGCGGCGGGCGTTACCCCGCCGCAGCCTACACTCCGCGCCCCTCCGCGTCGTACTCGCCGCCCACGTCCGGCGGAACCGGCTACTCCACGCGCCCCGCGCCGACCCCGCGCGCGATTCTGCTGCAGCGGTCGCGGTCGGGCGTGCTGATCGGCGCGCGGTCGTTCGGCGGAACGCAGCTGCCGTGGGAGCCGCCGAAGCGCAAGCCGCCGCATCACACGGCGGAGGTGGGCGCGAGCGACGCCGTGGCGCAGAGCCTGGACTACGAGTAAGCGGGAGTGGGGTAAATGCGGGGGATTGGGAGGGGTTTGGCGGGGGGAAGGGGGAGGGGTTGTGGGAGGGAGAGCACGGCAGCTTGGCAGTCTTTCATGGCTCATCTTCCCCCTTTGCCGCCGCTCGTTACCGCTCGCTCGTTACCGCTCGTGGCTCATCGCCTCCATGTCGCACCCATTCCCCTCCTAACCCCTGTTCTCCCCCCGCTCCCAGGCTCGCGGAGTCGGAGGAGGCGAGGCGGCGGACAGGCTGGGGCCAAGTGGGCGCTCCTGCTGCCCATCGGCTCATCTGTTGCGTCACAGACCGTTTCCCTCCGGTGCTCTCTCCGTGTCTCCCCTTCTCTCTCCGTGTCTCCCCTTCTCTCTCCCGCCCCTTGGCCCGCCCGTCCTACACCCTCCCTTCCCCCTCTTCACCCCTCCCTTCCAGCCGCGTCCTTCCCTTTCCCTCCCCCCACAGGTTAGAAGAGTTGGAGGAGGCGGCGCGGTGGACAGGCTGGGGCTGTGGAAGGCGATAGCGTACACAGCAGCCAATTGGGTGCTCCTGCTGCTCATCCGATGCATTAAAGCCCGCCTCCCCTTGCCTCCCTCCCCTCCCTTTTCTTCCCTCTTCCCCCTCCCCTTTCCCCCCGTCTCCTCCCCCTCCTCTCCCCCTCCCAGGCTGGAGGAATCGGAGGAAGCGCAGGCGGCGGACAGGCTGGGACTGGGGGAGGCGATGATAGAGTACACGGCGGGCAAGTGGGCGCTCCTGGTGCTCATCGGGTGCATTTTGGACAGAGTCCCCTTGCCTCCCTCTCCCCCTATCTTCTTCCCTCTTCCTCTCTTCTTCCCCTCTCCCTCTTCCCCCCTCCTAGATTAGAGGAATCAGAGGAGGCGAGAGCGGCGGATAAGCTGGGCCTGGGCGAGGCGATGGAGTACACGGCAGCCAAGTGGGTGCTGGTGCTGCTCATCGGGTGCATGACGGGCGGTGCGGCCTTCCTGATCAACATGGTGGTGGAGAATGCCATGGGGGTCAAGCTCGCGCTCACCATCGAGCTGCTCAATGGGGGGAGGTATGTGTGCGCGTGCAAGTGCGCGCTGTGTGAGCACATGTGTGCGTGCGTGCGTGCGTGCGTGCGTGCGTGTGTGTTGCACGCACACGATTGAATGTTCAGTATTGTAACCAACCCCACTCTTTCGTTCATACTCCCTCCCAATGCGCCCCTCCCCTCCCAATGCGCCCTTCTCTCCCCGCCCAGCCCATTTCTGGCAGTGCTGGTGTACTCGTTACTGAGTGCTCTGCTAGTGGCAGCATCAGCGGCACTCTGTGTGTTTGTGGCGCCAGCAGCAGCGGGGTCGGGGATTCCCGAGGTGCGGGCATACCTCAACGGCGTGGACATGCCACAAGTGCTCTCGCCACTCACTCTGCTCGTTAAGGTCGGTCAATGCCTTGTCAATGTGAGTCAATGCCTGGTCAATGTGAGTCAATGCCTGGTCAATGTGAGTCAATGCCTGGTCAATGTGAGTCAATGCCTGGTCAATGTGAGTCAATGCCTGGTCAATGTGAGTCAATGCCTGGTCAATGTGAGTCAATGCCTGGTCAATGTGAGTCAATGCCTGGTCAATGTGAGTCAACGCCTGGTCAATGTGAGTCAGTCCCTGGTCAATGTGAGTCAATGCCTGGTCAATGTGAGTCAACGCCTGGTCAATGTGAGTCAGTCCCTGGTCAGTGTTAGTCAGTGGCTGGTCAACGCGAGTCAGTGCCTGGTCATCATGAGTCAGTACTCTCATCTCTGTTCTGTTGGGTGTTTTTCATCATTCCTTTTCTCCCAATGTAGGAGTACCTTGTAAGGTCAATGCGTACTTGAATGAATGGCGTGCACATGCCAATTTCTGTTTTTTTTTCTCTCTCGCCAGAGCACCCGTTTGGTCAAGCTGAGTCAACGCCAGTCATGGCGAGGCGAGTGTATCAATACGGATCAATGCTAGGTTGTTCCATGCTCTAGCACCTAGTAGCAGCACACCCACCCACTTGGATTCCTGCAAACCCAAAGTATTCCCCACTCATCTCTGCAGCGTGTGTGTGCTCAGTGCTAACCGCACTCACTCAGTGGCAAACAGCCTCACCGCTTCCCACCCCTCTTCACGAACCCCCCTCTCTCTCCTTCAGATACTAGGCAGCATGTGGGCAGAGGAAGGCGGGCTAGCCCTGGGTAAGGAGGGTCCGCTGGGGCACATCGCGGAGACTCTTAAGTGGCACGGCACTTCTCTTGTCTTCATTCCACCCTTCACGTCCCTCCCCTCTCTCTTCTGCAGATCTTGGGCAGCATGGGGGCGGAAGCGGGCGGGCTAGCCCTGGGTAAGGAGGGTCCGCTGGTGCACATCGGAGTCAACTCATTCTCGCCACACTCGGTGGAAAATATCGACCACCGCTTCCCACCCTTTCCACGCCTCCCCTCTCTCTTCTGCAGATATTGGGCAGCATGGGGGCGGAGGCCGGAGGGCTAGCGCTGGGCAAGGAGGGTCCGCTGGTGCACATCGGCGTGACTCTTGAGTGGCACCCAGTGTTAAACAGCTACCACCCCGACACTTATCTCTCCCCCCTCTCTTGCAGATATTAGGCAGCATGGGGGCGGAAGCAGGAGGGCTAGCGCTGGGCAAGGAGGGCCCTCTGGTGCACATCGGCGCCGCCATCGCTGCTCTCTTTGGCCGCGGCTCCATTCGTGACTGGCTTGCTCGCCGGGCTGCCGCGGGTACATCTGGGGGTGGGGATGCAAGCGGGGGTGGCGGCCCGGATGGAAAGAAGGAGGCTCCGTTGCGGGCAGCAGCAGCAGCAGCAGGGACAGGAGGAGTGTCTGAGCCGCTGCTTGCACAGGGTACCACAGAGACCAGCACGGCCAGGGGAGGAGCGGGAGGAGGAAGGGGGAAGGAGGGGGAGCGGCGGCAGTGGTGGCTGCTGTATTCGGACTGGCTGCGTTTCTTTGACAACGACCGGGCGCGTCACGACCTCGTCACTATTGGTGCCGGGGCCGGGGTGGCCGCTGCTTTCCAGTGCCCCTTGGGGGGGATACTCTTTGCTCTCGAGGAACTCACCTCCTGGTAGGCTTTGCTTTGCTGCTCTTGTTTGGCTGCACCTGTGGTAGCCCGGTTGAAGGTGGCTGCTCTACTCGGGTCGGCTGCTCGCCACGACTGCGTCATTATTGGTGCCGCAGCCCCCGGTGTGGCAGGCAGCGGCCTTTCAGGCCCGCTGGGGGGAATTCTCTTGGCTCTTGAAGAGCTCACCTCCTGGTGGTGGGTGCTGCTTTGATCCTCTGTGCCTGGGCCTCTGGTCCTGGTAGTGGCTTGGCCGCTGGGTGTCAATGCCCGCTGGGTGGCAATGGCATCATTGCGGGCCTTCAGGAGCTCACCTCCTGGTGGGTGCTGCTGCTCTCGCACGGGGTATGGGGCTTAAGCAGGGTGCAAATACATCCTCGGGAACTGTTTTCGCCAGAAAAATCTTCTCAATTGCTGCTCGCCTAGTCGACATGGCTGAACCGCCTGGGGGGCGTCCTGATCCTGTTTGGCCTCGACTCGAGGAGCTCACCTCCTGGTATGTGCTGCCACTCTTGCATGGCTGCATCCCTGGTAACCCGGTTGTGTTAACACAATGTAAGCCCCTGATAAAACGGCACGGGCTTTGTAGGTTGCTATCATTATGCTGCTGCTGGTCGTGTGCGTGTGCCCCATGCTGTGGCCCATGCTGTGGCCCATGCTGTGGCCCATGCTGTGGCCCATGCTGTGGCCCATGCTGTGGCCCATGCTGTGGCCCATGCTGTGGCCCATGCTGTGGCCCATGCTGTTGCCCATGCTGTGGCCCATGCTGTGCCCCATGCTGTGGCCCGAGTAGTACTCGACTTGTTTTCAGCCGACGAAAGGACTCGAGTTGCATATTACTCGCCGAGTGATTTTACCCCTACATCCGACTCGCTACTCGTGAAAAATTACGAGTATTCATTACTCGGACCGAGTAATGAAGTATTCGTTCAGGAGCAAGTAATACTCGACTCGTTTCGCGCTAAACAGGTGTTGAAACCGAGTAAACTGCGAGGGATCGTTTACTCGTGAGTATTACTCGAGTCGACTCGTGCAAGTATTTTTCTGGAAAAAGGCCAACTTGTTACTCGCTCAAAACGAGACGCAACTTGCTTGCCTCGTTGCTCATGTCTACTGTGGCCCATGCTGTGCCCATGCTGCTCTGTTCTTGCCTGATTGCTTGTGTGTCTGCCCTGCTGCTGATTGGAGTCCCAAAGGTACGAGAAGCAGGTGGAGCTGAAGGCGCAAGTTCTCAAGTTGTTCCCTCCACAACTGCCTGTCTCCCCCCTGCTGCGAACCTTTCTTCTGCCTTGCTCCTCTGTGCACCTAGCTCTCAAGACCTCCCATCCCATCCCAACCACTCTCAACCCCTCCGCCAACCCCTCCAACCCCTGTCAACCAGGTGGAAGAAGAAGGTGGTGTGGAAGGCGCTTTTCACGAACGCAGTGGGCGCCTGCGCTGAGGGCGCTCATCCCCCCAACCCCTCTCAACCCCTCTCAACCCCTCTAAATCAACCAGGTGGAAGAAGAAGGTGGTGTGGAAGGCGCTGTTCACGAACGCAGTGGGCGCCATCGCACTGAGAGCGCTCATGGCCGCATGCGAGGGGGGGCGGTGTGGGCTGTACAGCGATGGGGGCTTCATTCTCTTCGATGCCCAGGTGCATTAAGGCCGTGGATGTGGTGTCGGGGGGGGGGTGGTTATGCACTTGCAACCATGCACTTGCAACCATGCACATGCCACCATCCACATGCAACCATGCACTTGCAACCATGCACATGCCACCATGCACATGCCACCATGCACATGCCACCATGCACATGCCACCATGCACATGCCACCATGTACATGCCACCATGCACATGCCACCATGCACATGCCACCATGCACATGCCACCGTGCACATGCCACCATTTACTCGCAGCGCTGTTCTCATTCATGTACATGCCAACTCAAGTCCCACTCATCCCTGCATCCTCGTGCATGGCATCAGAGGGAGAGCGACTTCGGGTTGAGGGAGCTGCTACCTGTGTTGGTGTTGGGCATCACAGGGGGCCTCGTGGGGGCGCTCTTCAACACCGCTGTCACCCGCCTCGCCAAGCTGCGTGCCAAATACATCAACCCGTGAGTCAATCAACCCGTGAGTCAATCAACCCGTGAGTCAATCAACCCGTGAGTCAATCAACCCGTGAGTCAATCAACCCGTGAGTCAATCAACCCGTGAGTCAATCAATCCGTGAGTCAATCAACCCGTGAGTCAATCAACCCGTGAGTCCACACTCGTCAGTCGAACCACTGTGAGGCAACCTGTGGGGCAACCCGTGAGGCAACCCGTGAGTCTATTTGTGCTCTCCATGAATGGTGCTGTCCATCTGTACACTCTCCCTCTGATGCCATGCTCTGATTCTCACACGTCTGCTCAAACTTCTGCTCACCACCCTTTCCCCTTTTCCCCCTGCCCCCCCCCACCATTACAGCTACGGCCCATGGTGCAAGGTGCTAGAGGCAGCACTCATTGCCATCCTCACCTCCCTTGCCCGCATGGCCCTCCCCTTCGCATCGCGCTGCCTGCCCTGCCCGGAAAACGAGGTCTGCCCGGACCCCAGCCTCAACGGCAACTACATTGCTTTCACCTGCCCGGCGGGCAGCTACAACCCGATGGCTGGGCTGGCACCCACCACCAACGACAACGCCATCACCAACCTCTTCTCCAGCTCGCCTGCTCAGTACACGTGAGTTTTGAAGTATATCTGTGTCTCAATTGTATCCTGACTCTGCTCTATATATGAGTCCCTCGTGTCAATTCTCCAGCTCGCTCGCCCAGTACACGTGCATGTTTGCACACTATCTGAGTGTTACACGAGAATACTCAAAAGCGACAGGGCTGGTGTTTGGCCACCACCATACCAGCGCTATCTCGCCAACCTCCATTCCATCTCGCCTGCTGAGTTCCCGCTGCACTCACACCCGCCGCTCGCTGCACTCACACCCGCCACTCGCTGCACTCACACCCGCCGCTCGCTGCACTCACACCCGCCACTCGCTGCACTCACACCCGCCACTCGCTGCACTCACACCCGCCGCTCGCTGCACTCACACCCGCCGCTCGCTGCACTCACACCCGCCACTCGCTGCACTCACACTCTCCACTCGCTGCACTCACACCCGCCACTCGCTGCACTCACACCCGCCGCTCGCTGCACTCACACCCGCCGCTCGCTGCACTCACACCCGCCACTCGCTGCACTCACACCCGCCACTCGCTGCACTCACACCCGCCACTCGCTGCACTCACACCCGCCACTCGCTGCACTCACACCCGCCACCTCGCTGCACTCACACCCGCCACTCGCTGCACTCTCACCCGCCACTCGCTGCACTCACACCCGCCACTCGCTGCACTCAAAACTGCCACTTTCTGTGCTTTCATGTGTTCATTCATTCCACCAGCTGCCTCGTGCATTCAGATTCGTTCTTACAGCATCACCCTCTTTCCCCATCGTATTCGCCACTCCACACGTTCTATCCACCACTCCGACGTAAGCCAGTGCGCTCCCGCTCCTTGTCCTTTGTGTGTCTCTTGAACTGTTCATCTCCAGCTTGCGAGCCTTAACCAGTGGCCGCTCCCCATCTGTTTTCCGCACCCCCCACAATTACAGCCACCCACACTCGCCCTCTTCTCCCTTCTCTTTTTTCCCCCTCACTGCCCTCGCCCCCCTCACTCCTCACTTTCCTCCCAACCCCTCCCCACCGCAGCCACGCCACGCTGGCGATCTTCTTCCTCGTCTTCTTCTCGCTTGCCATTATCACCAACGGCTGCTCCGTGCCGGCTGGCCTGTTCGTCCCACTCATAGTGGCGGGCGGCACGTACGGCCGCATGATGGGCAAGCTCATGCGCTCACTCACCTCCTCCACCTCCCCCACTCTCTCATCGTTCCTCCTCCCCTCCCTCACCTCTCCCCTTCGGTCGGCCGGGCTACTCTTGTTCGGAGAATCTGGTTCTGACACGGGATTGGACGAGGGGACATACGCGCTGCTCGGCGCCGCGTCCCTATTGGGCGGCTCCATGCGCATGTCTGTCTCCCTCTCCGTCATGCTTCTAGAAGTTACCGGGAACCTTCTCCTCTTGCCGCTGATCATGCTCGCAACAACCATCGCCAAGGAGGTGGGGGACTGTTTCAACGAAGGGGTGGTTGACGAGGCGAGCCACTTAAAACGCCTGCCCATGCTGGAATACCCCCCGCCCGAGTTCATGAAAAACCTAACAGCAATAGACGGAGTGAGGGGCCCGGCTGTAGCGCTGAAGAGTGTGGAGCGCGTGGGGGAGGTGCTGAGAGTCCTGCAGACCACCACCCACTCCGCCTTCCCTGTTGTGCAGATAGTGGCTACGAGGGAAGGGGGGAAGCTGGGAGAGGGGGAGAAGGAGGGGGTAGGTGAGGGGGAGGGGGAGGGGGAGGTGCAGGCGGTGCTGTACGGCATGGTACTGCGCTCCAAGCTGCTCAAGCTGCTGGCTGATAAGTCCGCCTTCCAGCGCGGCACTCTCTGCACCGCTCGCACCAATCCCCTTCACAAGCTCCCTCTTTCTACCAACACTGCAGCTGCCGCCGCAGCTGCTGCTGTGCCGGAACGTAGAGCTGGCCAACGTACCGTGCGGTTTGAGGGTGTGCCGGTCAGTCCACAGGCGACCAATGGGGACACGCCACGTGGCACAGCTGAAGGTGCCTATGCGGAAGGGCTGACACTCGGGGGAAGACTGGCGAAATCTCTGTCCCACAAGCACCGCACGGCGACTGCGATAGTGAACGTTAAGAAGACGCCTTGTATCGAGGATATCGATTTGAGTGTAGAGGAGCAGGACATGTTTCTGGACCTGCACCCCTTCTGCAACACCTCTCCCCACGTGGTGGGCGAGGCCATGAGCCTGCGCAAGGCGTACGCCATTTTCCGGCGAATGGGGCTGCGCCACCTGTGCGTGGTGCGCGAGCGCATGCAGGTGGTGGGTGTGCTGACGCGCAAGGACCTGCTGCCCCACTCGTTTGAGAAGCAGCAGCTGGAGGAGTGGGACGACGACGACAGCGACAGCGACAGCAGCGACGTGGACGAAGAGGAGGAGGGTTCAGTGGGGGAAAGTGGGGGGTTTGCGAGGGAGAATGGCGGGGCAGGAGTGAGTGGTGGTGGTGAGGGTGGAGCGGCAATAGTGGATCGTGCGGTTGTCGCGGTGGCGAGTGATGGGGACGAGAGTGGGAGGCGTGGGAGCGGTCATGTGAGTGACGGTGAGGGTGGTGGGCGGCTTGGGAGCGGGCATGCGAGTGACGGCGAGGGTGGTGTGAGAGGCACTCCAAAGAGGAGGAAGCGAGCCATTCCTTCTTTCATCTCACGCTGTCATACACAGAAGTACCACTGAACTGAGCATGCCATGCACTTGCTCTGTTAGGTTCAACGGCGGTAGTACCGCTCAGATATCAGCGTGAAACATGCTGATTACGCTGATTTTGTAGCTGTGATTTTCGTTTTCCCTGAAAATTCAGCATATGCTTCAATTTTGCACTGAAATTTCAGTATAACCTACCTTGCCACACTGACCATTTTGCGTGTTGCTTTACAAGTAACACTGACGAATCAGTGTAGTAACGTGAGTCATACAGAAAAGGAGTCGACCGCGTGGGGGGGGGGGGGGGGGGGGGAGATGATAGGGTACGCGTGTATAATCTGTACCTTCCTGTGATTCCTGAAACCCCACCCACACACTTGGCATTTTTTCGCATGCACTGCACAGATATCAGGTGCGCTTCGAAGAGATTGCCTCGCTGGAACCTATCACAGCAACAACACCACACACCTTGTAATGGGGTTTGTTATTCCACTGTTGATTTTTATGTTAGAATGTATTTGCTGTCTAGCCTGCAGTGGGGTACTCTGTAATGAGTACAACCCAATTTAGGGTATTGTACTTGTATCCCAACTCTTGCTAGTGAAATCACTTCTCTTTCAAAAACCTCTCGACACTTTTCTCCTCACCCTCGAACTTGATTACCTAGGCACCTAAACTATGGCTTCTAAGCCCACCCTTGCTTAACATTTTAAGATGGTATCAGAGCTTAACGCTCCTGGCCTGTGGGCCCACTCGATTCCGCTGCCCTATTGTGTGTCGTGCGCCCCGTGGCGCGCGACCACCTATTTTTCTTCCCGCCACGCGCTCGGGGCGCGTGGCGGTTTTCTGCCAGCCGTGCGCCCCGAGGCGCGCGGCGGGTACCTACCTCTGCTGGCGTCTTGGGGGCCCGCGCACTGGCCCCGACCGTCGCCTCGTCGCGGCGTTTTGGGGGCCCGCACGCAGGTCCCTCCCGTCGCCTCGTCGCGGCACTTTCGGGGCCCGCGAGCCGGCCCCTCCCGTTGCCTCGTCGCGGCGCCTTAGGGGCCTGCAGCGCGGTCCCCTCTCGTCGCCCGTCGAGGCACTTTCGGGGACCTGCGCGGCTCCCTAGCACGTCGCCCTTCAGGGCACAATGGGGGCCGCGCCCTTCCCCTCCCCTCCCTCCTACTTTCCGCTGCAGCAGCCCCAGGAGCAGCCGCCCTAGCAGCAGCCCCTGGAGCAGCAGCAGCAGCAGCAGCCCCCGGGAACAGCCGCCTCAGCAGCAGCCCCAGCAGCAGCAGCCCCTGGAGCCGCCGCACCAGCAGCAAGCCGCCCCTGGCCCCTGCAGCAGCCGCTCATGGACCAGGTGCAGCCGTGGGGGGTGGGTGTGGGGGTGATAGTTGTGGGGGTGTCGGTTGTGCGTGCCGTCCCCTCCTCCTCCTCCTCCTTCGTCTCCCACTGCTGCAGCTCTCGCTGAGGGGGGTGGATGTGTGGGAGTCTGGGGTTTAGGGTTTAAGGGGGTGCTGCGGGTGTAGGGCTAGGGTTTGAGCAGGGGGTGTGGGAGAGGGGCGTTGGGCAGCTGGGGGAGGTTGAGTGGAGGCAGCAGTCTTGTCATCAGCAGCAGCAGCAGTCCGGAGGCTACAATCTCCGGTAGTCGCCAGTCGCCCGTGGGTCAGTTGCTCGTCTGCCGCTACTTTTAGCCGCGGGGCCAGTTACTCCAGTAGTCCGGAGCGTTATTCCGGTAGCCACTGAGCCAGCAGCTCGTCTGTGTGTCTGCAGCGTAAGCAGTCGCCTCCCATCTTCTCTTCCCCACAGTCTCTCCTCCTCTCTTGTCCTCTGTGATTAGCTCTAGCCTTACTTACCTATTGTGAACTCTTGCTCTATGCTTGCTCACTATGCTGATTACACCCCACTTTGGCTATGGGGGTGTGTTAGAATGTATTTGCTGTCTAGCCTGCAGTAGGGTACTCTGTAATGAGTACAACCCAATTTAGGGTATTGTACTTGTATCCCAACTCTTGCTAGTGAAATCACTTCTCTTTCAAAAACCTCTCGACACTTTTCTCCTCACCCTCGAACTTGATTACCTAGGCACCTAAACTATGGCTTCTAAGCCCACCCTTGCTTAACATTTTAAGATTTTACACTGGCAAAATCAGTATAAAAAAAACCGTGAATGCTGATTTGGACACCTCGTTGGCCGGGGCACGCTGATCTATTAGCAAACCCTCAAAGCAATCTGAAGGTTTGGGCGGGGTACCTATGCTTCATTTGCCTCTACCGTCAGCCCCCGGATAGAAGCGCCCCTGGGGCTATTAAAAAACACGTTTTTTTAGGGGGTGCGCTTATAATTGAGGATTTTTATAAGCGCCGGTGCTTATATAATAACATATATGAAATTCGTCGTTTTTCCACCAAACTGTAGATCCCGTTCTTGCGAATTGAATCGAGTCGAAACTATACAGGGTTCGATTGAGAATCTCACATGCAAGTTGGCAGGGATTGATTCCCTGCCAACACACACAGTCAGAATGTGAAACTATACTGTACAAGGCTGTGATTGAGACTCTCGCGTGCAAGTTGGCAAGGATTGATTCCCTGCCAACACACACAGTCAGAATGACTCAACGTGCGCCCTTGACAGCTCATTCTTGTGAAAGTAGGAACGTGAATGAATGAACTATGAAATGTGTGAGTACAAGAACCAACCCTAATTGGGTTGTACCCCCTATGGGATACCCCACTATAGCCTACACAAAAGCATAAGCTATAAGTTCTGACACACCCCCATAGGCAAAGTGGGGGAGAACAAGGGGTCACAAGACCAGTCAAGTAAAGCAAAGCAAAACTCAGGGTGGATCACAAAGTCACCACACAGTCCGAGCACAAGGTCAAGGCCACAAGGCCAGTTCACATGCAAGACTAGACACATATATATATATAAGGCTAAACAAGCAAGAGCAGGGTATATATATATATGCAAGAGTACAAGCAAGGTCAAGAGGTGAGCAAGTGAGGTAGGACAGGTACAAGTCCCAGCTGAGTGCAGAAGCGCTGATGATCACAAGGCGGAAGTGCCTTGGTGAAAACATCAGCAGTGTTGGCCTCAGAGGCCACGTACGCAAGTCACAACTGACCACGCTGCTGCAGCTCACGAGCAAGGAAGTAACGGAGAGCAATGTGCTTCGTTCTGTGCTCCAAACGCTGCTCTCGAGACAAGGCCAGCATGGCCTTGTTGTCTACGTACAGCACTGGAGGAGAACGAGGCACCTCTCCAAGGTCAGTCAGCAGGTAGGTGAGCCAGCGAAGCTCCTCTGCAGCCATGGCCCCGGCGTAGATCTCAGCCTCTCAACTGGAGCCGAGAACAGAAGACGAGGGAGTAGCCCGCCAAGAGACAGAGCCAGAACCAAGACTGAAGGTGTACCCCTGCGACGACCGCTGCGTAGCCTGGTCGTCAGTCCAAGAAGCGTCCGCGTGGCCAGTGAGGACCACTGGACTCCGCCCTCCAAGCACTAGCCCCATGCCCGATGTACTGCACAAGTAGCGCAACACCCTCTTCGCTGCAGCCGTGTGCTCTGGTCGGTGTCTCCCAGGAAGCAACATAGCGTGCAAGAATGCTAAGAGGGTATGCAAGGTCAGGTCGAGTGCAGATCATCAGGTACATGAGGCAGCCAACAAGCTCTGGGTACGGGCCACTCGGCTCTACGGACTCATCCGAAGGCAGAGCTGAGAGCGAGTGGCGAGTAGGCAGAGGAGTGGCCTGAGGCGAGGAGTACGTGAAGCCGAAGCGCTCAAGGACCTGCTGCACCATGTGTGACTGAGTCAAGGTAATGGTGCGGCGTGCTCTGTCCCGAGTGATCTGCAAGCCAAGGTAGCTGCGCAGTTCACCCAGGTCAGTGCACGTGTGTCTCTTCTAGCAGCTCGGACTTCACATAGGCGAGTCCAGCAGTGTCAGCAGTGGCAAAGACCAAGTCGTCGACGTACACGAGGATGTAGAACGGCGGCAGAGAAGTGTCGGTGCGCAGAAACAACGAAGGGTCAGCAGTAGAGGGAGCAAACCCAAGAGCCGCAAGTGTAGGTCCTCAGTGTGTCGTGCCACTCACGCGGTGCCTGGCGGAGACCGTAGACTGGCCGTCGTAGGCTCCACTGGGTGCCAGGAGGGAAAGTCCCAGTGAAGCCAGGCGGACGGCGCAGCCAGATCTCCTCGTGCAGGCTGCCTTGCAAGGAAAACAGTGCTGAAGTCAAGAGAGTGAAGCTCGTAGTCGCGTTGAGCGGCTATGTGCAGCAGCACCCGAAGAGTAGTCATCTTCGGGGTGGGAGAGAATGTCTGAAAGTAGTCAACTCCCTGCCGCTGACTGAAGCCATGAGCGACGTACAGCGCCTTGAAGACAGGTGGAGAGCCAGGCGGCCGCTTCACCCTGAAGATCCACATGCCACTGACGATGTTCGCCCCAGGAGGGGGAACCTCGTCAATGTAGGTGCCTGTGGACTTCCAAGAAGCCATCTCTGCATCCATAGCTGCCTGCCACTGAGAGGAGTAGGGACCCTCTACGGCCTCCGCGTAAGAACGCGGAGTCGGGATGTCTAGTGCATCCGGGTCTCCCTCAGGGGCAAGTAGTACAGACGCGAGATGAGGTGAAGCAGGAGCCAGACACTGAAACTCCTCCTGCCTGTCCTCAAGGACGTCCGTGCCAAGAGCACACTCACCCCCGACGGACGGAGGACAGACAGACGCAGACTGAGCAACAAGACTAGCAGCATAGTCTAGACGACAGCGAGCAGCAAAGTCGACGAGCTCAGCGACAAGAGCAGACGCAGCAGTGGACTCAAAAGAGGGGTCAGTGACGACAGTAGCAAGGAGACGCGTGACAGTAGGACTGGCAGCACGAAGAGAGTCCGACTCCGGGTCGGAAAGCGCAGGAAGAGAGGACTCAGGAGGAGAAGGCAAAGGGGTACGCAGAGGAGCAGTGGACAGACGCAGAGACATCCAGTGCGTGCCAGGGACAGGAGAAGGACGCTGACGCGAACCGCGACCACTAGCGCGAGCAGCACGAACA